CCCCCAATTTTGGGTAGCCAATGTCCAAGTTGCCCATCCCTATCTACTCTGTGTATGGAGGAGGTGGGAATGATCTTTGCTATAAAGATTTGTTCTCTCTTTTGAGCTACTGCATCCATAGGTGTAGGTCAAGTTCATCAAATTGTATCAGATGACTCTTTTTTTCTTCTTCTTTCTACTTCTAGTTGAGCTCTGATCATCCAGTCATTGAAGCCAGGTCAAGTGGGTATTATCTGCAAGTGTGGGTGTTCTTATGCATATGCCCTCTCTTTTTATCAGCTGGACGCTTCACTTTCCACTCTAGTCCTCTGTGGCTATGTCACTGACTCTGGGCCCAAGAGTCCTCAGGTCTTGCCACACTGCTGGCCAACCAGGTCTCCACCCAGGTTCACAGGAATCTATTGAACGTTGTAGGACTTAGCTCGCAGCTTCATTGCTGTTTTTCCCTCACTTCCCCTTATCGGTGACCAACGTGGTCACCAATCACCTTTGGTTGGTTGATGAAGCATGGAGAGGATTGTAACCATGGCAATGAAACGATATACGATAGGATGAATGTAAAGCTAGTGTTCTCTCATGTAAGCTATCACATAATTCACAATAGAACATTAAAAAAAATCATCTGGGAATATTGTTTAAAATGAAGATTCTGATTAAATAGGTATGCATTTCTGAGAGTCTGCATTTCTCTCAATGGCTGTGAGTTTTTGCAAATAGCTCTCCAGAACTTGCTTCCTGGAGCACCTCTGGGTGGATTTGAACTGCCCTTTTAGTTAGTACTTAGAGCTGAGCTCTTAGTGCCACCCAGGGTCTCCTGAACATTTCCATTTTATGTATCTCCATGTGACACTGCAGTAACTAGTCCATGAGCAGCAAGGCTTAAAAGAAAGGGCGTCAACAGAGCTCCTTAAAGAGGAGAACAGCATGATCCAATTGATGTACTAGAAGCTCACAGGGTTGCAGTGTAGAGGAGGAACTAGAATTGTAGGTCCTTCAGACGTTCTCACTTAATGGTGATCACCACAGTATTCCTAATGGCATTACATGGGAGGACTGTAGATCCTGAAAGGTGGAACAGACTGTAGAGAGGTGTGTGGTTGACCTCCTTCTTTTTACAAAGTATGAAGAAGAGCTCTTCAAATGTGACATGACATCCCTCACAGTCAGACAACTACTTGTTGGCAAGAACTCAGATACTTGAACTAATATCCATTTTTTAAAGTGGCAAAATAATATGCAATACAACGTCTGCTAATTTAACATTTTTTCATGTGGGCAATTTCAACAAAAATTCATTTAAAAAATATCACTGACTAGAGTGTAGACATGTGTTAACTTGGGTCATAGGGAAGGCAGTTAAAAAGAAAAAACAATTTTTTTCATGTACATGAGAGGAAACAATGCATATTTATTTTCTCATTTGGACAAACCTTTGGGAACTTTCCCGCAAAAGAAAACAGAAACGAAAGGGGAATAAAAGAGGAGAGAGAGAAAAAAAGATTTGGAAATGGATAGTGATGGTAGTTACGCAACACGGGGAGTGTGGTTGGTGTGGCTGGATTGTACAGGTACAAATGCTTGAAACTGCAAATGTTTGGTTGTATATATATTGCTACAGTTAAAAAAAAAAAAAAAAAGGGAAGAAATGCCATGTTATTTCCACCAACATACCCATTCTAGGACATGAATGTATTCTCAGAGTTGAATAGCGAAGTTTCATTGGAATTAGGAAGAAAGACAGATGCAGGGGAACGGTCCTTGACCTGGGGCATATTGTAGATGCTGAGTTAGGCAGTCTCCCATGATGGCAAATCCACTGTCTTTTCAAAACATGTCAGAAGTGTAGGTTCTGTGTAAGTGAGCAAGTCAATGAACACCCACCGGCTCTTGGTGGTGTTCCAAACCTACTTTGTACTGACAGGACTGTTTAGATGGATTAGGTAGTGAGTAAGAAAAGCTCACATGCCTAAAAATCACAATCAGGTGGCATCGAGTTGATTGTCACTCATGGTGACCCCCTGAGTTTCCCAGTGAAACTGCGCTCCACAGTGTTTTCATGGCTGTGCCCTTTCAGAAGCAGATTGCCAGGTCTTTGCTATATACAGAGATACATGATAAGAATCTTACAAGGCTCCTACAAAGAATGCAACTTTATTTTTATTTCATACTTTAGGGAATCGAAGCTCATAAATGCCAAAATGAGAATTGATGAAAAAAAGAAGAAACAGTGACATGGAAGCAGCAGGACCAGAGGCATTTGAGAAATGGAGAAGAATCCAGAAAAGCAGAGTCATTCGCATTCTGTCTTATACGTGGGGCTTGGCCTCTGGGGGAAACAGCAGAATCCTGAGAAAGAACATGCTGACACCCTTCATGTATTTCAGATGAACAAACAAAGCTGGTTTAAGAAGCTAGCTACTTCCAGGCTAAGAGAGCTCTGATTAAAAAGATAAAGCAGCAACCACCAGATGCAGTGTTTTGAGCTTACAAATGGGCTCTTACTCTGGGACGGGAAGTAAAACCTGCCTGCTCATGAGTCACATGTGTTCTCCTTTATCTGCCCAACAAGGGGCTGACATATTGAGAAACAGCTGAGTTCACTGTTTCTTGGACCTTGTGGAAAGGGAAAAGGAACAGGAAAAAAAAAAAAAATAACCATTAGGCAGCTGAGTAATTTAAATGCCATCTCAGCAAAATTTTATCCAACTAAGGATGTGATTTTTCATGAATTGTAAAAGCGGCTAGTTTTGAGCTCCATGATCTCAGGGAAAATTGTGGTATGGCTGACTTTGAATGAGACTACTTGTCACAAGAATTTTTCATCTACAGTTGAACAACACAGGGGTTAGGGGCACTGATACCCCTCCATTCCCTCACTCCATCCCACAGTTGAAAATCCACATACAACTTGTGACTCCCCTAAAATTTAAATATGAATAGCCTACTAGTGACCATAGCCATACTGATTACATAAGCAGTTGATTAACTTACAATTTGTATGTTAAATATATTATATACTATGTCTACATAAAAGCTGCATTTTTCAATACAAGGGGAAAAAAACATATTTCACAAAAAGTGTAAGGTTTTTGTGCTTTCTGGCGTAGCTGCAGCAACTTCATAAATTTCCTTTTCTTTTTTTTACAGTGGTCCTTATGCTGGATTCATTAATTTGAAATGGCAGGTAACCATAGCTGCAGACCTCAGTCTATTGTACAAATCCAGCAACTCACCCATTTCTTAAAATATCGTGACTTTTTCTGCTTTTTGAGAGCACTTCCAACATCACTAGTGGCACTTTGTGTGGGTTCCATGGTGTTACTCAAAGTTTATGGCATTGTACTAAACATGATAAAAACTACACAAAAACAGTGAGATCAGTTTCACCGAGATCTGCAGTTTATTGGAGACAAGAACTGTTCACGCAGAGATAATTAGTGACATACATCATTAAAAAACAAAACCACGTATAAATGGACCCCACAGTTAAAATGCATGTTGTTCAGATGTACTTTGAAGGAGTACCAAATTTAAAAACCAAAGATTAAAAAGCAAGAACTTATTTAAAGTTATGTTAATACCTTACCTTCATTTTATGCAGCCTTATATCACAATAACACTTAAAACTTACTGACCTAAGTGCATAGTGATCCTGTGCTAAGCACTGTTGTATGGATGATCTCAGTGCTCAGAACTGCATGATGTAGGTATTACTACTATTATTACATTTGATAGAGAAAGAGAGGAGACGATGAAAGAAAACAGAATTCCAACTGCTTCTGCAGTCTGATACCCCTGACAAGTCCAAAATGGTTAGCTCCAATGGCTGAAGGAATCGTATTGTGGCTAGGGGCAATGTCTAGACAGGAATTGTTCATAATGCACAGATATCCATGATACATGACCATTATCTGATTATAAAGGGGCTATGACAACAGTCACTTAGAAGTCAAAATACTTGTTTGAGGAATGATTACTCAGTAATCACCTGGGGTTACCTTCCCAGTTCCTCACCCCAGGGTTCTGTTTGCAGCTACCCTCCCCATTTCCTCAGGATAAGAAAAATTTCACCAGGTCTATGAACAGCCTAGGGTAGCATCTTCCAGACCTCTAGAGAAGGATCCCTAGAGGGGCCAGGCCAGTGTGTGCTATTAATTCCTGGTAAAACAGGCCTCTCCTCATCCAGCTCTACTTGCTGTATGTGGTAAAGCCAGGGCTGTAGTGAAATCCAAGGAGAATCCAGAGACACTGGGAGGAAGGTGAGCAGTGATATCTTCTCCCTTCCCTGCACTATTTGGGACAGTAGCGATCTCTTCCCTGACTTGAAGGATTCCTGGTAAGCACAGTGGTTAAGTGCTCAGTGGTTCAAACATACCAGCCTCTCTGAAGGAGAGAGATGTGGCAGTCTGCTTCCATAAAGGTTACAAACTTGGAAATCCTACTCTGACCTACAGGGTCACTTTGAGTTGCAATCAATTCAAAGGCAATGGGTTTTGGTTCTCTGACCAACAGAAGCTGCCATTTGGCAATAGTAATACAGAGGGGCAAAGTTCATGTGCCTGTTACAGTGTTGTTAAGTGCTGTTGAGCTGGTTCTGACTCACAGTGACTGTGCATAGGCTTTCTGAGGAGCGGCTGGTGAGCTTGAACCGTTGACCTTGAGGTTCAAACTGACCTTGTGGTCCAGTGCTTTAGCCTACAGTGCCACACCAGGACTCTATTATAGGTAAACCCCACCAACTGCTCTCCAGTTGATTCAAATCCAGGGTAACTCCGTGTGTGTCAGAGTAGAACTGCGCTCCATAAAGTTTTTAACGGCTGATTTTTGGAAAGGATATCACCTTTTGAGGTGCCTCTGGATGGACTTGAGCCTCTGACCTTTCTGTTAGCAGCTGAGTGTGTTAACTGTTTACACCACCCAGGGATTCCCTACTACACAGAGCTTCTCTCCATTGTGATCGAGGGAGATCAGACCCCATTTTGGCCCCAAATGATAGTTACCCATTCTCAGTCATCGGTGTGATGGTGGCAGCCACGAGACCTTGAAGTTTCTTCTTGGGGGAGGCCATTGTGCTTCTGAAAAAAGTGTGGAAAAACATAAAATGTGATTCCTTTCTTTCTTCAAGGAATGTCTATTAATGATAAAGCTTCTGGACAGGGCAAAGTCTGTTCTGAGTTGTGAACTGTAAAATATGCTTACGAGCGCACACATAGAGAGCAAGTGTGAGAACATAAAATTTGAGAGCTTACTTCTGTGGCTGCTGCTATTGCATTCTATCAAGTCAGTCTGACTCACAGCGAACCTGTATAGGGTTTCCAAGGCTGTAAATCTAGGCAGGAGCAGAAAGCCTCATCTTTTCCCCATGGATTCCAGCTGCTGACTGTATAGTTAGCAGCCCAATGAGTAACCCACTACGCAACCAGAACTTAACTCTATTGGGGAGAAACTGCTCTTTTGCTCTTCCTTTTTTTAAAAGATAGGGGAGAGTGGAGACAAGAGGGCAATGTCCTGGGAAATACTATCAGAAGCCCTCCCATTTTATCTACACAGATGTGTGTGAGGCAATCTGAAACTCAAGAAGTGAGGGGCATAACAGCTGATCCCAGAGAGGACCCAAGCATAACTCAGGGAGGCCAATTACATACAAGATTGCTATTAATCAGAATGAAATATGGTGAAACAATGTTCTTTTTTCATATTTCCATTCTTTTAAGCTAGAATCTCACCTAAAATGAGCAACTACAGGCTCAAGGTTTCAGCTCTCTTCAGATCTACCTACCCTCTCATATTCTGTTTATGAACAACAGTTCTATCCTGTTTTTCTAGCTCTGGCAAAACCACGAAAACTGCATCACAATGACTTATTCACCTCTTGTAACCTCTAGACCTGGTGTGGTGCTGTCAGTTAATGTGCCAGACGGCAAAGCCGTTTGAACTGCAAGGTCGGCGGTTCAAGTTCACCAGCTGCTCCTTGGAAACCCTACACAGGGTCGCTATGGATCGGAATCGACTTGACAGCACTTCACAACAACAATAACCCTCTAGACCAGCTCGTCAGACATGAGGAAATAATGCTTTATTTGCCTTGCCTTTCCCTGCACTGGGGGTTCTCTCCAACCCAGGATGCTCACTTAAATGGGATGGATATGCTGGTCATTAGTGAGGCTGGCCCAGGATCGGGCAGTGTTATGTTCTGCTGTGCATCAGGTCGCTATGAGTCGGTACCAACTTCATGGCACCTAACAACAACAACAAGAAGGAGGGGTTCAGACGGTGGTTGAACGATGACTTCCACTGCCAGAGAGCTTGCTACAGAAACGGTGGCCCTACAAGACACAGTAGGACCACCCCATAGTTTCCAAGGCTGTCATCTTTCTGGAAGCAGATTGTTGCTGGGTTTGAACTGCTGAATTTTCAGTTAGCAATCAAATACTTAGCCACTGTACCACCAGGACTCCTTGCCTGTCCATGTCAGTGTCAAAATCCCCCAAAGTGTTCAAAACATAGATAGTGAGAGACACAGAGCCTAGTGGTTAACAGTCCAGGTTCTGCAGGCACGTTGCCTGTTCAACTTCCAGCTCTGCCACTAACTAGTTGTTGTTGTTGTTGTTAAGTGCCATCGAGTCGGTTCCGACCCACAGCAACCCTGTACAGTGTTTCCAAGGCAGTAAATCTTTATGGGAGCAGAAAGCCTCATCATTCTCCCGCGGAGCAGCTGGTAGTTTTGAACTGCTGACCTTAAGGTTCGCAGCCCGATTCGTAACCACTACGCTACCAGAGCTCCCTAGTTATAGAACTGTTATTTTTGTCTATTGTAGTGAAAACATACATAAAACATACACTAACTCAACAACTGCTTCATGTATAAGTCAATGACTCGGTATTTCTGTATTTCATATAAGTGTCCTTTTGTGATTGAGGAAGTTCAATGGTAAGTCAAAAAGAATTGTTATAAAAATCATAGAAACTTATGTTAAACAAAAATGTCAAAATGTGACGCTATTGTTTGTCAACATAGCCTCTGTCTAGATCTATACGCTTCTGAAGGCAGTATTTCCAGCTTTCTCAGCTCCCCCCACCAAATCTGGGTGTGGCACTATAGGATAAACACTGGACTGCTAACCACAGTTGGCAGTTCAAACCCACCAGTTGCTCCTTGGAAATCCTATACAAGCTCGCTATGAGTTGGAATCGACTCAACAGCACTTAACAACAACAACCCTTCCTCAAAGAATTCTGTGCTCTTCTATTTACATCCCTTCAAAACGGCAATTTGAGCATCCTTAAGGGGCTCAAATCATGACCCTTTTCAACGCCTTTGAGCATTGTGAACAAAAAGAAGTCTGAAGGAGTAAGATCAGGGTTTAGGGTAGATGGGGCAAGGTGTCCCATGAACTTCTTGTAGGAAGCCCTTGTTAGACTGAAAGAATGAACAGATGCATTGTAGTGATGGAAAAAAAAAACTCCTTGGGGAAATTTTCCTAGCCCTTTTTCTTACCAATGCAGTTTTCTATTTTCTTAAAATTTCTCCTCATGATTGTCCTGTGTTCTTTAAGAACATCTACCAAGATTATTCCTTTAGAATCTGCCCCCAAAATAGCTTCCACAGCTTTCTTAGCTGACCTCACTGTACTGATTTTAACAGGCCCAGCAGATCCTCTCTGAAGCCAGTGTTCATTGGACCTGTTTTGAAGGCACCCTAATCAGCCTACTGTTGTTAAAGTGCCATTGAGTCAGTGCCAACTATAACAATCCTGTATAGGGTTTATTTCCAAGGAATGGCTGGCGGGTTTGAACCACTGTCTTACAGTTAGCTCATCCTGCAGAGTCACACCAGGACTCCATTAGACTAAGACAAGTGTAGATAGAACTTATCTGTAGCCATCCACTGACCACAGAGACATGTTTAAACATGTTTTGTTTGGAATTGAATTTGGAACCCTAGAAGCAATACTTTTTTTTTTACTTGTTCTAGTATTTTTATTTTTTGAACTATAAGATATTTGTAATTCATAGTCACAAATGCAAAATCTAACAATCTAACAAGTCCAGCAGTAAATGAAATATAATAAGATAATATCAACTGAAAACTATATAAAAGACAATGGGCTTGTAGCAAATACAATGTTGTCTACAGGTGGCCAACAAGAGGGGATGTGCTATAGTTCTATGTGGTTGTTGTTAAGTGCTGTAGAGTCAGTTCTGATGCATAATGACCCTGTATAGGGTTTCTGAGGCACAGCTGGTGGGTTTGAACTGCAGAGCTTGTGGCTCACAGTCCAGTGCTGATCCTATAGGGCCACACCAGGAGTCCATAGTTGTACAGTCAGTGGCATATTTGAAGGTGCTCCTGGGTGATACGAAGGGTTAAGTGCATGGCTACTAATAGCAAGGTTGTAAGTTCAAGCCCACCCAGAGGTACCTCAGAAGAAAGGACCAGCAATCTGCTTCTGAGAGATCACAGACAGTTCGACTCTGCAACACACAGGGCCACTATGAGTTGGAATTGACTCGAAGCCATTTGTTTTTTTTTAGGCGCATTAAAAAACTCAATGCCCACTGTGATTTTTTTAAATAAACTGCTTTGTTCTGTCTGTTCTCATTTGAAAACTGTTCATCTGAACTCCCCAAATAGTTGTATAAACTTTTGAAGAGGTCATATCATCTCCTTTTTCTGTTATCCTTCTAGAGTTCTGGAGAAATACTTGTTGCTTTAGTGCAGGGATGGGGAACATCTAGCCCACAGGCTGTAAAAGGCCCATGGAATTATTTGGTCTGGCCCTGCCAGGGCAACCACAGTTCCAGCCATCATAGTTGTTCTTATTGTTAAGTGCCATTGAGCCAGTTCTGACTCACAGAGACCCTGTATAGGGTTTCCAAGGAACAGCTGGTGAGCTTGAACTATTGAACCTGCAGTTCAAAGAGATTTGCAGTCTGGTGCATTAACACACAGCGCCACACCAGGATTCCACCAATCATAGTAGGGGTGAGCTAATTACATGTTTGACTAATTAGTGGCTATTTTTTTTTTTCATTGTAAACTGAGTGATAGTTTACATGGGAGAACATCGGCTTTACACCATCATTTCAATGCAATGCTTACAATCTCCTCCACACATCATCATTCAACAGCATTTGCTTCCATTCCCTCTGTTGTTCTTTTCTTCTTTTGGGGGGGTGGGGGTGAGGTGGGAGGATGTACACAAAAACACTCAGGAATATATAATAATTTAAATAACCAAAGGCACATTCTGTAAGTCTGCCTCCTGGTCACCAGCACTCAGTCCTTCTCTTTCCATGAGTCTAGAGTCCTCAGCTACTTCCTTTCTCAATGTCCTTATCTCTGCCTCTATCTCTGGTGTCGATGCTTCTCTGGATAGGGTCCCACATTCCGCTTGTACTCTTCTCCCTTGATGGTCCTAGGGTCCTTTGTTTTTGGACTGTAAGATGAACTACTCCTTCGTTTTTGTTAAAAACTTCTACCTTTACAATTGTGACAGTCACCGTTAGTCATGATAAGATTTACTCACTATTGAATCAAAAGAATCTTATCCCCCATCATTGTTCAACAGACCCATCTAGACAAGATGAAAACTATTCAGTGGGGACTCTTTCTCCCCCCATATACTCTTAAACTAAACTCCCTCTTGGAAATTTATAAGCCAGTTACTTCATGCCTTTATCACACCCTCATTTTAGGTAGCCAATGTCTAAGTTGCCCGTCCCTATCTACCCTGTGTACAGAGGGGACAGCATTGATACTTGATATGAAAATTTCTTCCCTCTCTGTTGGCATTTTGAGCTACTACATCCATGAGTATAGGTCAAGTTCATCAAATTGTAGCAATTTACCCTTGTTTCCTTTATCAAACATGGTGGTGTTGTTTTTTATCTTCCTCTAGTCGAGTTCTGATTATTAAGCCATCGAGGCTAAGTCAAATGGGTACTATCTGCAAGTTTGGGCATCTTGTGCATTTCCCCTCACTTCATATCAGCTGGATGCTTTATTCTCAGCTCTAGACTTTCATGGCTATGCCCTTATCCATGGGCTCAGGAGTCTCTAAGTCT